TTAGCTGTCCTCCGTGCATGGTTTTGCAGTTGAATCCATCATAAGAATTCCGTATGATGTTGACTATTTTCTCAGGCACACCATAGTATTGAAGACGCCTCCACAGTGTTTTCCTGTCCACGCTATCGAATGCTTTCTCGTAGTCGATGAAGTTGATGTAGAATGGTGAGTTCCACTCTATTGATTGTTCCACAATGATCCGTAATGTAGCAAATTGATCAGTACACGATCGATCCTTACGAAATCCATCCTGTTGATCTCGAAGTTGGGCGTTTACGAAGTCCTTCATTCTGTTTAACAATACTCTGTTGAAGACTTTGCCTGGTATTGAAAGAAGTGTGATGCCTCTGTAGTTCTCACACTTGATTCATATTATGCTGTTGACAAAATATGAGACTTTGAGTAGTATTTAAGCAAGGATAATCCAACACACTTTAAAGTGATATTTTGATGAAATTATGTTTTAGTGAAACATAAGCATTAATTAACCTAACAATTTTTTGTTAGGAATCATATGTACGTTAAGGAAAGTCTGAAATCTCACACAGATGAATTAGGTTGTTTGTTTTTTTCATCCTGTTGATGTATGTAGAAAGAATGAATTTTACATTGAAATCTAAAATGATAATTTACATGACAAAAGGTAATAAATTGAACATAAAACTCATAGTAAATTAAATTTGATCTTGATTCACACGCACACATAAACTTACTTAAACAAATGTATTTATTTCGAAATCCAGGAATCGATCAATGTAGATCATTAATAAATACTTGGAAACACTGAACGATCCTTTCGATCTGGTTTAAGACTTATTAGCAGTGTGCATTCCACAGCTTCTGCTACTCGCAGGAATTGAACCCAGGATCTTCGAGTATGGTGCGAGAACGTTTAATCTATGGACTATTGAGCAGCCACCTAGTGGTGTTGATTTCTAACCTTCTATTAATTCATCGGTCTTGCGCAACTTCATTCCATTGTCTTCAGTGTGCATTGTTCCAACACCTTGAACAGGGTTGACTCCACTGGTGACGAATTCTCACTAGAACTCGGAGAAACTCCTCACAGAGCTATCAATTAGTGAGCACATGATGATTTAGATGCTAGGTTGTGGCGTTTATTGAGTAGAAGTGTGGTGCGCGCTACTGTTCGTGTCATAAGCTGACGAGTCTCCTTCACCAGTTCACCGATATCCATAGGTTGCGCTGCGTTTATTAGTCTAGGTGCTGGGACAAGGCGGCAGGCACACTCTCGATAAACTGCGACTGTCAACAACTCTGCCTTCGACTCCTCATCGTATATTCGGAAGAGCAACTGCGAAACAATCTGTTAGCTGCCACATCAAGCACCACGTGCGTCAACCATCAGCTGCAGCACCTCTGCCAACCAGGAACTCCTGCAGCGCTTTCTCCCTGTCCATTTGGCTATTGAACTCCGTCGTCAGCCGCCCAGTGACAGTATTCCTCGTCGTCTCCCTCGCCAACACACGTTCAAGCGTCATAAACAACCTTTGCCTAACCCTCAGCAGTGTCCCCAGCACCACCAACTTCGCCTTCGGCTCTTCACACCCACCAAGCTCCGCCTTGGCCTCAAACTCCTTCAGGAAGCTCCTCACATCTCCGTCCTCAAACTCCTTCGGCCATAGACATCTTCATCCTTTGTGTAGGCAGCGACACTAAATATAGTGCGAAGTGAGAAACACTGGTGAGGGCAACCAAATTGTATTTTAAGTGCGCAAATTACAGAGTTACTCGGTAATAGAGGAACACCATATCGTAAACCGTTAATTTGCAAAACATCAATCCATCATCAATCCATTGTCTGACATTTCCTTCTGTCATGCGTTTCATACAAATTCCATTGTGTTCCCACTCTTCCTTTCTCTTGATCTTCCCCATCTTCTGCTGCCAGACATTACGTTTACACTCACGTTCATATACTACTTATAAGTAGCGCGAACCCCAGGAATATTTGCTGTACACTGCTGATGAAATCGCACCACCAAGACAGTTCAGTTCTTTCAAGTTTTAATGTTGGTCTATATATTGTGAGTCCGTTCTCATGATAGTACGCAATAGTAATATCAAACTCTTCACAATACTAAAACAGATTTCTGCATAGAGCATAGTCTGGATGATCTAGTCATTAATATTTTATTGGTAATTAATTTTATTTTTTTGAGTAACTTTGATTATTTTTTTCCATAATTATTTTCTTGTTCAATATAATTTTTTATGAGCTTACAAGTAGACATTTTCACTATGTCCTTAGTCATATTCATTCATATAAATGAGTTGAAATGGTTAAATGAAATAAAATATTTTTTCTATATATTGTACATTAATAAAAACCATTAAAATGAACATGTTATGGTTAGAATTATTTTGATGGATAGTTAATAGAAGGTATCAATGAACAGAGGTTGTATAGAGAAAAAAATACGCTTTAGTTAAAGTACTTATTTCATGAAAATACACATTAAGAGTAGAGAGAGAGAGAGGAGAGAGAGAGAGGGAGAGGGAGAGTACATTTTATAAATAATAATTTAAGTTAGAATTTTTTTTTAAATTTTTTTTTACCAAAATTGTCGAGTTAATTTCTTTGTTTTGCTTTCATTTTCATGCTAAATTCTTTAAAATTTTTTAATATTTATGATAAGTTGAGAGTTGTTATTAACATGTTAACATGTTAACTACTACTAGTCATATGATAGAGTAGGTTGATTGATTAGTTTAACACATCCATCGACTAATCGGGATTTCCAGTAGACATTTTGTTGTCAAGATACATGAAAACCTTCAAAACGTTCGAAATTAAGAAATATAGTTTCATGGGCCACGTTTTCAAGGCGTTCAAAAACTACCGTATGTTAAGTATCAACAAAAATATATAAGCCGTTTCGTCCTGGCATGGACTTTTCAGCAGTGCACATCCATGACTCCTTGCACCTCGCAGGATTCGAACGGGGACCTTCGGTTATGTGCCTGAACGTCTAACCATTGGACCACTGGGCCGAAACCATACATTATGAACTTATGTATATGTGGGGAATAGTTAGAAAAATATGAACGATTGGAAATAATTGGCAGATAGATCCCATTTGTATAAGACATTGATACAAGTTCTGGATTGAGAATGTTAAAAGTAGAACTTCAGTAATGCTATTTATATATTGAGCTGATAATACTCCACTGTAACTTGACAAATTGTAATAAATAAAGTTATTATTCTTTATTGGACATTCATAGACGAACACACATATAATAATTCACTTCCTACGTATACAGACTTGTTTTAGTACATTAGTATAACCATAAACTAGATAGCTACACAAGCAGCTTCACTGATGAAAAACACAGTGAGCAAGCAATCTCTCTCCCACACAAACAAAAA